ATATTTATAGAAAAGACAGAGGAAAACGCCTATTTTTGAACAGGATGATTAAAAACTACATTCCAAGGGACGTCAAGAAGGAAATCACGGAACGTGTCACAATCCATTCGTTGATAACAGAAAGGTTCTCTGTTGGTAGGGGGTTCTTGGCTGGTGGGTGAGCGGAAAGAGATGTTTACAGATGATCATATCAGAGTTACCAAGAGAACAGAGCTGCATAGTACAACAAGAGTCAGGGATAGTGGTAAAAAAATGGATCTAGAAGAGAAACATGTCCATCAGGGCTACTAGTAAAACCTGCGGGGAAGTCCATCACTAGCGTGAGAGATTGAGTGAGTGAGAAATTGGATGCCAGCGAGGTCATTGACAGGCCGTTTAAGCCCCCTGGCCTGGTGGACATTAAAATCACCGAAGACAAATATATTTGCAAACCGGTGTAAGGAGGAGGCCTTATCTATGTTATCAGAAATACTATTTAGCACGCAACAGTCATGAGAAGAAGGGGATCGGTAGAGAAAGAAGAGATATCTGAGTTAAGTAGAGAGAGACAGAGACACATGTAAGAATGGTCTGGAGATACAAGAGAAAGTTCACTCGCCAGCAGGAGATGTACCCGGATATAAACTTCAATGCCATTCATTTTGACATTAGTGTCCTTCCTAAAAAGAGGAAGATAGTGAGGAATCAAGAAATTAGAGGAGGAGATTGAAGATTTACGATTAATTTCGAAGAGAGCTCGGAGACTTTTCGAAGAGGCACGATTCCATACTGCATAGTACGAAAAACATGAATGTTGGAGAAAGTAAGGTTGAGCGGTTTAGGTGTTTTCTTGTTTTGTTGTTTTAGTTTTATATATTTGCTTGCTTATAGTCATGGTGTGTTATTTTGGTAAGAAAAAGCCTAACGTAGTAGTAGCAGTCGGTCGCCTAATGTAACATGTGTGGGAAGAGAACTGGGGCAATCTGCAACATAGTGTAGTTTCGGGGTCACCCACCGGAGATGCATGCAGAGACACACTTCCATGCGCGACGTGACACTGCAAGATATTATGCGACTGTTAATCAGAGCAGCCTCTCAAGATGCTAACTACCAGTCGAGAACAGCAACCAGAAAACTGCCAACCCGGTACCCTCAGTATGAAGAACTTTTTAATATTGTCTTATGCGCTGATTCTTTCAGACGTCTAACTCTGCCGTGTTCTTCCTTCATTCCACAGGAGGTGATGACTACACATTTCCCTCTATGCATGATCAGCCATGCCCGATTTCATTGTCTCGTACCTCACTACAGCTTTTCGATGTTCCTCCAACCTTTCTTTTAATGTTCGGCTTGTTTCACCATTATATTTTCTGGCACAAGTATAAAGAATCGAGTAACTGAATTCTTGGTCATATTCTTCGTCGTGTTAGGCATTACTTGGCAGAGATTTTCCCATAGAGTGGAAGGGCTTCTGCATATCGTTCTGGTATTGTATGATCTGAAGATCGTCTGAGTCTTTTCCAACGACATCGACAGGCAATGACAATTTTATAGTCATTATAATTATCCCTTCTGTTCTAACCTGTAGACGCTGATGTTATGTTTGCCGCTTAGTGGAAACCAGTAAACAATAACTGAGCAATACTAAATTAAAATAAAAACTAGACTATATCCCTAGACATGAGCAGTGGAATAAGAACAGTCTGTCTCCGTAGATTGAATAAAGGGTCCACACCAACCTTTCTAGCCTCTAGCTGCTCTATCGTTACTTCCATGGAAAGTGCTCGGAAGAACTATATTCCTTGGTTCCACCATCACGGCTAGGAAGCGCCATGTCACTCATATTGTAATCACACATATTTCCTTAGTATTCTGTCGGTGAGAAGTCAGTTACACTCAAACGGCTTCTTTTCGCGTACAACTGCTCTGTGGAACCGAATGCCAAGAGGACGTTTTCACGATAACTACAATCTTAACTACTTCAAGTCTATGGTTAGCAATTATCTCCCCTTCCTGTCCGTATAAACTGCCTCTTAACGTAATAGGGTGAATCTTACTGTAAAGAAAACAAAACAAAAAAACAACGAATCCCCTCCCACAAATACCCCCAAAAAAAAAAAAAAAAACAAAACAAAAAAAAACAGGCAGGCAGTAACTGAGTCGTAGTAAGTAGATATAAGGGCAAGACGATATCCCTAAATATAAGCAGTGGAACGAGAACAGTCTACCATTAACAACACGCATTAAAGCAAAATTATCCATGTATTTAGAAATAGATATAAAAAATGAATTTTTTTATTGAGCTTGTCTTCCATGATATTCATAATGAAAGTCTTCACCTGAAAAGGCAATTTACAAATACGACTCCAGCTTTCAGGTTAATGTTTTGGCTTTCTAGCAACTTGTAGGGTTGTGTGAAACTAACTCTAGCGCAGTATATGTTTTAATTTTATTATCACCTAAACTAAATTTCTTCTAAGTGATCCGTACACCGAGGTCAGAAGAATTATAGATAGTCTCTAGTATTTATCCACATCCTGAATTTTATGATATATTCGTGGTCCATGCCATACTTGACACAAATGAATTTTTTTATTGAGCTTGTCTTCCATGATTTTCAATAACAGACCTAAAAAGCTCTTCAAAATCTGCGCAAATCCATATATATATATATATATATATATATATATATATATATATATATATATATATATATATATATCCTATTAAAGGGCGGCTCCAGTCGTGACTCGAGTTTCACGCAGTGCGATCTTTAGATGACTGGAACGGAAAGGAAAGGGAGGTGCGGGCTTTATATAAAGCCCGGTCCTCCTTTTCATAGGATTTAACGTTGCTTAGCGTTTTTGTTCGGTCTAGGCAATCTAGGCTTCGAGCACTTTACTTCCCTGAGTAGGTGAGTTTTTTTATTCGAGACTTATCTAGATAACAGTTTAATTTTCAGTTGTTCCTACCAACGGTTTTTGTTTTTCTTTTAATAGTATTTATTTTTCATAATTATATATATATATATATATATATATATTCGCGCCCAATGATTGGCATGTGTATGAAATTCAGAGTTGCACCAAATGGTGAGGAATAATATATATATATATATATATATATATATATATATATAATATTAGTGGTCAATATATATATATATATATATATATATATATATATATATATATATATAAATTCCCAAGAGGATAGAATCCAGGTAGAACTCAGTGTTCTGATGAATTGGATCGTGATTACGATTCCAATGTAATAAATTATAACCATGGTATATTAGTGTTTGAGCCTTTTTTATATATATATATATATATATATATATATATATATATATATATATATATATTATTAATGTTATTATTATTGTGGCCATGAATTTAACAACATAAGATATGTAGACGACACAGTGTTGATAACAGAGGTGAAAGGAAATCTACAAAAGTTTCCTATTGAAGGAAATCGAGAAGAATGGATTAAATATAAACTGCAAGAAGACAAAATGAAAGGTTGTTAGCAAAAGGTACAGCCCAAAAAGCAAATTACAAATCGGAGATGCCAAAATCAAACAAATATCTGGGAAGTGTTCTAACAGAGGACATAGAATGCAATACTGATATCCGAAGACACTGCGATAGACACGGATACATTCCAAAAGCTAAGCAGAGTATTAAGAAATTTCATTAGAAACAAAGAAAAGAGTACTGAACTGTTTACGTGATATCAATCCTTCTATATGGCAAAGAAGGGTGGACAGTCACCTCAAAGATGAAAAAGAGCGTTGAAGCAACTGAAATGGGGTTATACGCAAGGATACTGACGATACCATGGGCCGATATGTGAGCAACGACAAGGTTTTAGAGAAAATGAAAACAAAAAGGAAATATATACTTAAGCTCAGGAAGAGACAGTTGAAATTTCTGGGGCACACAATGAGGAAGGAGAACATGGAAAAAACTGATAATCACACGACAGATTTGAGGGCAAGAGGGACAAAGGAAAACAATGTATAACATAATGAGCTTTGTGTAAACAGACGGCGGAACAATTTTTAGGAGAAATAACGGAACACAAAATTGATTAAAAGGACAGAAAATTGTTGCGAACCACGATCGCCTACATCGTGAAGACATAAAGAAGAAGAAATGAGTGAACACTGGGGTCAACACTGAGTGCCGGCAGTCTCTTTATATGTTTGAACGCGATATTTAGACCAAGCAAAATAAATATATTAAATTAAAGTAAAATAATAATTAAATTTTGAAACAACGATATTTTCTCCATTTTACTTCTGCTTATAAATACATGTTGCAGAATAAAATCCTTACATTTGTCTTGATAAAGTCCCACAGGGAAAGAAACGCGTTGGTAGAGACAAGCTTTTTGCCTGTCTTAATAGATTTTTTTATTTATATCTGAATATCATATATTTTTACATAAAGAGTGCGACAAAAATACCTCCCACATATACCTCCCACGTATAACTCCCACGTATAACTCCCACGTATAACTCCTACATAATGGTAAGACGTTAGTGAAATGGTGTCTTCATCTAGCTAATGTCTTACCATTATTTGGGTGCTGTTTCTGGGAGCTATATGTGGGTGCTATTCTACTGCACTATATATATATATATATATATATATATATATATATATATATATATATATATATATAGGGGTCCATAAAGTTCGTGTGTACTTTAATTTTATAAATTTTTAAAGTGCACACGAACTTTATCGACACCCCTGTATATATATATATATATATATATATATGCATGTATATATGTATGTATGTATATGTGTCTGTGTGTGTATAGACAGACGGACAGAAAGAAAGAAAGAAAAAAGAAAGAAGGGGAGTAGAAGTCAATAAAAATCTAAAGTATGCCGACAAAAAAAAACAGACAATATAGTGGGAAATATTCGATACCGAATAAATGCATGATCTTAAGTAAGGTAAGGCACACAGGCAGGCAGACTGGAAGGCTGGCAGGAAGGCACTCAGGCAGTCAGGCAGGCAGGCAGGCAGACATACATGCAGACAGGCAGACACATAGTCAGGCAGGCAGGCACACAGGCAGGCACATAGGCAGGCAAGCACACAGGCAGGCGGGCACACAGGCAGACAGGCAGGCACACAGTCAGGCAGGCAGACACAAAGGCAGGCAGACAGGCACACAGACAGACACAGAGGCAGGCACCGAGGCAGGCAGGTAGGCACACATGCAGACAAGCAGGCACACAGGCAGGCACATAGGCAGGCAGGCAGGCAAGCAGACAGGCAGGCGGGCACACAGGCAGGCGGGCACATAGGCAGACAGGCAGGAACACAGTCAGGCAGGCAGGCACATAGCAGGCAGACAGGCAGGCAGACAGGCAGACATGCAGACAGGCAGGCACACAGGCAAGTACACAGTCAGGCAGGCAGGCAGGCACACAGGCAGGCGGGCAGACAGGCAGGCAGGCAGGCACACAGGCAGGCGGGCAGACAGGCAGGCACACAGTCAGGCAGGCAGGCACACAGGCAAACAGGAAGGCACACACGCAGACAGGCAGGCACATAGGCAGACAGGCAGGTAGGCACACAGGCAGGCACACTGGCAGGCGGGTACACAAGCAGACATGCAGGCACATAGGCAGTCAGGCAGGCAGGCAGGCAGGCACAGAGGCAGGCAGGCTGGCAGGCAGGCTGGCAGGCAGGCAGGCGAGTACAAAGGCAGACAGGCAGGCACATAGGCAGGCAGGCACACAGGCAGGCAGGCTGGCAGGCGGGTACACAAGCAGACATGCAGGCACATAGGCAGTCAGGCAGGCAGGCAGGCAGGCAGGCACAGAGGCAGGCAGGCTGGCAGGCAAGCACACAGGCAGGCAGGCTGGCAGGCAAGCACACAGGCAGGCGAGTACACAGGCAGACAGGCAGGCACATAGGCAGGCAGGCACACAGGCAGGCAGGATGGCAGGCAGGCACACAGGCAGGCAGGCGGGCAGGAAGGCACACAGGCAGGCACACTGGCAGGCGGGTACACAGGCAAACGGGCAGGCACATAGGCAGGCACACATGCAGGCAGGCACACAGGCAGGCAGGCTGACAGGCAGGCACACAGGCAGGCAGTCTGGCAGGAAGACACACAGGCAGGCACACTGGCAGGCGGGTACACAGGCAGACAGGCAGGCACATAGGCAGGCAGACAGGCGCACAGGCAGGCAGGCACACAGGCAGGCTGGCTGGCAGGCGGGTACACAGGCAAACAGGCAGGCACACAGGCAGGCAGGCAGGCAGGCAGGCACAGAGGCAGGCACACTGGCAGGCGGGTACACAGGCAGACAGGCAGGCACATAGTCAGGCAGGCAGGCAGGCAGGCACACAGGCAGGCAGGCACACAGGCAGGCAGGTAGGCACACAGGCAGGCACACAGGCAGGCAGGCACACAGGGAGGAAAGCATGCAGGCTAGCAAGAAGGCAGGCTTGTCAGTATTCCAAACTTCATTTTTCTCTTTTCTGTTCAGTTTTGCGTTGTCCTCAGCTTGATAGATAGATAGATACGAATACGTTGAGATAGACAGGTACATGCGAACAGACTGAGATAGATACGAACAGATAGATAGATACGAACATACTGAGATAGATATGTGGGCTATCCCTATTGGTATGGTTAATTTTAAAGGAGAGCTACTTCTATTCAATGAGTCAATTCCATTATTTACCCTTTTCATTTTTTTATCCTCATCATCCCATCACTATTCCGCGTAACCTTCACCTCTCCTCCACTCGTACTGCTACTCTTTTCTCTTTTTCTTGCTTCATCCACACTTATTAGCATAATGCGATATAAAATACAACTTTCCGCCTCCTTATCTTTCTAATACAATCTTTAATATATCTTCTCTCATGACTGTAAACTACATTACACACACATTCCAATTTATTTTACAGCGAACTCTTCCGACCTACACGTCACCTCCTTTTTTATTTCTTTTATATACTCCTACCTTCATTTCATTTCAGTCGTCTGCTTTTCTTCATTTTAAGCCTTTGTAATCACATTTTTGTCTGTTCATTTTATTGCATTTTCCTACTTTTTGTAGCCTTCTCAAAGAATAACTCGTGGGAGGTGTCCATTATGAATAGACTGATAAAGCTCTAAATGTGGTCCGATCAGAATCGTATTTCTGGTCTTTGGCCGCTGAACGGTTCGATTGAAAAGGCCGCTTATGCACAGTAATTTTCATCGCTAAAAATACGCGTAATTTTCGAAGGCTACAATTAGAAAGAGAAAAACGAAAAAGTGACAGATCTATATTGAGAAAAAAGCCGCCAATGAATTCGTCATTCTTGATTCGGTAGTGACAGGAGAAAGCAAAAATGAATTTGATGAATGCATTTTAATTATTATCGAAATGAATTTACTTTTCTGTAATTACGTTCATACTAGATAGATAGATAGATAGAGGGAGAAACAGATAGATAGATAGATAGATAGATAGATAGATAGATAGATAGATAGATGCCGGATTACTGATTTAAGTGGATAACAGTTTGCCGCATTGGTAATGGCCAACCGGTACATAAATATATTGATTACTAGAGTAGAAAAATCGTGTTAATTCAATCTTTTCAGGCGAAAGTGTCCACTTTGTAAATCTGTCGTATAAATTCTTGCTTTTACGTGAGTTCGTACATTAGAAATGCATTCAAACACAGAAATAAAATCCGTCCCTTATGTGATCAGAGATACACAGAGAATACATCGGCAACGCAGATTTTTCAAACGGACGAATAACCTGAATATTGGAAAATATTAACCAAAAGAAAAGAAATGGCGTTTAGAATCAGACTTTTGTATGAAAGCGTTTTCTACGATGAAAATTATTGTATATTAACAAAGAAAACCATTTTACTTATTGCATTTTGCTGAATATTTATTAACTCCCTCATGCAATAACTAATGCTGAAAGTATGATAGATAAATAGATAAATTTATTGATAAATATATTTATATAAGCTACATAAAAATACTTATTGCTGACGCCACACAAATTTCAAACGCATTCTATACTAAAAAGTCGAATAGAGAATTTTTTTTATATTCCGTGTCCGTTCTGGACGTAGGGGATCATGGCTCTCCAAAATGTCCTTTGTAGCTCTTAATAAATTTTGTGTTTTTCTTATTTCTTCTTGTTCCGCCAAGCATTTACACAAGCTCACTAAGTTATACGTTGTTTTCCTCTGACCCTCTTGTCTGTGAGTATAACATTCTTAAAGCCTTCTTTCCTCATTATATACCCGAAAAATTTCAACTGTCTCTTCCTGATATTAAGTATAATTTTCCTTTTGTTTCTATTTTCTCTAAAATTTCGTTGCTGCTCACATATTCGGCCCATGGTATCCTAAACATCCTTCTGTACAACCAAATTTCTGCCGGCTCCAGTCTCCTCTTCCTCCGTGAGGAGATTGCCCAGCATTCACTGCCATACAAGATGACTGATATTACGTAGCAATTCAGTACTCTTTTCTTTGTTTGTAACGAAAAACGTTTATTAATATTAATCACGCGACTCTTGTCAACTGGTTAATATTAATAAATATTTTTCGTACTGATTCCATCGGTCCTCTTTCGTTCGTTTGACTCGGTTTTATTGACCAACTTATCGACTCTATTATATATATATATATATATATATATAAGAAATATTATATATATATATATTTCTTACAATTGTAATTAAGATACCATTTGTAAGAAAAATTTTGCTCTGCTTAATGAAAATAAACATTGAGCGCTTTTGTGAGTTTGTTTTACATTTAATATTTCAAATTCTATATTGTGTTAATAGGACTCGCTTGGTTTATACCAACGAATTACTATATATATATATATATATATATATATATATATATATATATATATATATATATATATATAAATGACCAACAGTAAGCATTTCATCTGTAGTTGAAGGTATACAACTGCGTTCGAAATATTCAGATTTTGACATTAAATAACCCATATAGGTTAATATGCCGCTAAACAAAATCAACCAACAATCAAATTTTCCTTCATCTGTAAGGAGATTGACGAGTAGTCATTGTTATATAGGTGGATTAACATTACATAACAGATCAGTAAACATTTTTTGTTTTTGTTTCTAACGAAATTTCCTGTTTCTTAATGTTAGATTTTAAGGCAGAAGGGGCGTTAGCAACACAGATTTAACATCATTTGACCTTGATGGAAGCACAGAAGATATCAGAAAGGGTTGTTGATGTAGAGATGGTTACATAGCTGAAGATGCGCATTTGGTGTAGCAAATTAGCAAGAAGAAGAAATTGCAGAGAAAACAAAGCACAGGGTAAAAGGATAGCAAAAGAAAGCCGAGACAAATAGTAAAAGAAAAAAAAAAAGTACGCCAAGATAAAGGGTGAGAGAGAAAAAGCTGAGTAAAAAGAAAAGTTGAAAAGATGAGCGATTGGAAAAGAAATCAGTAAAACGTTTCGCATTAATAAATATGCATATTTATGCATAACAAGCGAATTTCGAAGGTCACAGTAATTTTGAATGTTAGGCTTCCTTATCTATCTATCTATCTATCTATCTATCTATCTATCTATCTATCTATCTATCTCAGTCTGTTCATATCTATCTATCTATCTATCTATCTATCTATCTATCTCTGTTCACATTTGTTTCTTTTACATGTTTTTATCTATATCAGTTAACTTTTCTTTGAATTTTTTTATCTATCTATCTATCTATCTATCTATCTATCTATCTATCTATCTATCTAAGTCTGTTCATATCTAAGTCTGTTCATATCTATCTATCTATCTATCTATCTATCTATCTATCTATCTATCTATCTACTTTAATATCTATCTATCTATCTATCTATCTATCTATCTATCTATCTATCTAAGTCTGTTCATATCTATCTATCTATCTATCTATCTATCTATCTATTTATGTATTGCTCTTATATCCTTTCCAAATAAATCTAGCTTACTTAGCAGTTCTAACAGTTCTTTGTGGCGTATCTTGTTTAATACATTTTCATAATCTATAAAACATAGATACAGATCGCTTTGTATTTGTACTGCTTTTCCCGATATCATTTTGAACTTAAATGTCGTATTTTACCCCGGCCACGTTAACAAAGTCACACAGTTCGTGTCTTACTTCCGGTCTAATTCTGCCGTCTATCCATCAGAATTCGGGTTTTTCGATGTTTTGTTATGTAGCGCATTAGGCTGATTGTCCGATGGAGTTAGTATTCGTTTGTTTCTGGTTCTTAAGTAACGTTCTGAAAATATATCTACGTCGTTCTTCCAGTATATCGCCATTGTCTTAGATTTCATTTATTATGTCAGTAATTTTTTCAATACCAAAAATATCTAAAGCTGCCAGCATCTTTATTACAATTCAAACTTGTCCCGCTGCTTTTTTTTTCTTGTTCAATTAACCCAGTGCTGATTTCACTTCAGACTTTAATATTTCTTGTCCTTCAATATTTATATGTATTGTAGATTGTCCTATTTCATCATGAAAGAGTACTCTGGTGTATTCGTCCAATATCTGAAGTATTTTTCTTGTACTATTATCAATGTTCTTTCTTTGGATTATATGCATCCTGTTAATGAGGAGGTCTTTTGCTCTGTTAATTCTCTAATACTTCTATGCATATCTGCTTTATCTATAATACCCTTACTTTCTTTTTCTTTTTCTACGCACTTTTCATTAAAGCATTCTTTTTGGCTGTCCTGAGTTTGTTCCTAATTTCGTTGTGCAATGTCCTATAGTCTGTGCCATGTCTTGGCATTCTTTGCTGTCTTGTATGCATCACGTAAAATTTTTCATCTGGCATCCACTCCTTTTTTTCTTGCTTAGTTTTCTTTATCGGTGATCGCGTTTGTTTATGTTACTAAAACAATTTTTAATGTGTCTTATTTCGAACTCCTTTCTTATACTATACCTAAATTTTACTAAAAACAAGATTAATAAAAATGCCACAAAGCTAGTTCTCTCTCTCTCTCTCTCTCTCTCTCTCTCTATATATATATATATATATATATATATATATATATATATCACTATACTAATTCATCGAGTCTAGAAGAATCCTCAACAGAATACAGAAAGCACTGAACGACCGTTTCGTTCTATTTGGCACTCATCAGCAGTGCGCATCCACTACCGAGATTGAATCTGGAACTTTTCCATACAACGCAAGGGTGATACCGACTGTGCCAGCGGACCCCTGTGATGAAGAAGAAACAGAATATACTCGATATAGCGCCGCTACTCACAATTCTGTGGTGATTCTCATCCAAGTATTCATAACCCACCAGATTGTGCCCCAAGAGCCACGACTTTCCTTTTCCCCGAACCGATCCATCGCAGAGCATAAGCTGGGTCAAGCAAGGATATGCAAGTAATAGAATTTTGTGTAGTGGATGCGCACTGCTGATGAGTCCCAAATAGGACGAAACGGCCGTCCAGTGCTTTCTGTATTCTGTTGAAAATTCTTCTAGATTCGATGAATTACTATAATGATTTGTTTAAATGCCCAAAGTTCTATTACTATATATATATATATATATATATATATAGACAGATTTTATCATTATGATATGGCTGATATTAATCTGGGAGTGACTCATTGCACCTTCTCGGACTCACGTTCTCGGATGACATAAAGTTGAACGATTATATTGAATCCATTGCTCCGACTTCTGCTAAGAAAGTTTGTTCACTGTGTTGTGTTAAAAAAAATCACATGAAGGTTGGTAATGAGCGATAATACTTAGGACACGAACACATATAAGATTCGCCAGCGGCGCGTAGAAGAAGTAATCAACTGCTAGAAGTGAGTCAAGTGAATTCTACAATGAACCTCAAACTTCAGGATATCTTCCAACCGCCCCACGCTGTCAGATAAGGCACAAGGCCGAATTTAATGTGGGGTACCTGTTATAGAGTAGTTTCATAGTGGAGGCCTGTATTTCACTAAGTCGGTCCTAAAATATGTTCGACGCACAAAACGTTAGGAACTTGACATAATAGGTAATGACGCAGAGAAATCTAGTTGTGGTCGCTGATACTTTAATATCCGACTATTTTTGAAAAGCAATAATAAAGATTTTCAAAAATAACGGATTCGACATAGATATAAAAACTAACCTAAACGAAGTAGACTTTGTAGATCTTACCATCAACCTAAGAAAAGGCACATATAAACAATACAGAAAACCCAATGATAAACCACTCTACATACACACATCTTTCAATCAACCGCCTTCGATAATGAAACAGATACCAAAATCGATTAACCGCAGGCTTTTCGACAATTCCTCCAATGAATCCACATTTAACAAACCTAAGAAAGACTACGAAACAGCCCTAAAAGATAGCGGATTCACAGCAACATACTCACCACAGAACACAAAAAAGGCCAATAGGAAAAGAAATATCATATGGTTCAACCCACCGTACAGCAAAAACGTAAAAACAAACGTAGGAAAAATATTCTTCAAACTCTTACGCAAACACTTCCCGGAATCAGGCACCCTACACAAAATATTCATATATATATATATATATATATATATATATATATATATATATATATATATATATATATATATATCAGTTAAACTGATGAATAAATATGAGCGTCCTGAACCCCAAAATTTTCTAAATACTTGTTACAAATAAAATCCTCGCATTTACCTTGATAAAGTCCCACAGTGGACGAAACACATCAGCTGAGATAAGGTTTCCTTTTGTCTGTATACATATTATCCTTTCACATATATACTTCATCTGAAATTTTACACATACATACACATTCATATATTTATGATAAATATGATAAAATAAAGAACAATTAGGAAACGCATTATTTTATCATTTTCCGATCCATATTTGATCTGCATTTGATCTTTAACTCTCTCTGTATATATATATATATATGACTTTATGATTGCGTTTAGCATGAAACAGTCTGTCGCCTCTGAGTGTTGACTTCAATGTTTACTTTTTTATTTGCATACGGTCTATCGCTGATATTTTGTACGTTATCCCATACATATAGCATACCTTAAAACTATATTTCTTCATATATATATATATATGTGTGTGTGTGTGTTTGTGTCTCACTTTGTGTGCATGCATGTATTTGTGTGTGTATGTGTGTATGTGTGTGTGTGTGTGTGTACTTTGGCATCAGCTATGGCAAGTTCTACATGTAGGTCCAGTAATAGCGTTTTTTATGATTTTCAGTGATCTCTTTAAACATATTGCGGCCTGCTCTTGGGCTCAACTTGATAAGATGGCTTGGCCTGGAGATGTTTGTAGTTGCTTTAAATGTCTCCTACTTGTAGATTGTTTTCAGAACAAGCGGAATAACTAGTTTCTAATTGCTTGGAGAACTACTTAAATCATTTCTCAGACTCTTATGCAACTCCCTTCTCTCTGAAGGCTTCATAGATCTTTTTGATCACGCTATGGTGGTTTAGATAAGACAAGTTACCCCAAAACCATCTATGACGATGTACTTATCATTTGCATCGGATGCAGTGGATTCGATTTAAGGTATTTTTATGTAGCAATAGATGTGGAGGTTTCCTAATTTTTCCCTCACAAGAAAATTGCCTTTCTGCTAATTAAGGCCTTCCAATTATTTTGAAAGATATTTTTCTCCATTATTCATTTACTTATATTATTTCCATCACTAAATAATATTAAAATGAAACTCAATAGTCTATATATCTAAATATGTGAAAAAAAACCCCAAAACGTTGCATAAAGTATCATGATGATTTCACATACTTTTTACCTCTGTTTAGTCAGGTTTTGTTGAGTTCAATCAAGGTCTCTCTGTTTCATTTTTTATTTTATTTTCATATTTTAATAAAGTTAGTAGAATCAAAATGAAATTTTGAACGAAACGTCGAAAAATTGTTTGTTTTTTATTTTTTTTTGACATTGTCAAGAACTAAATGTTGATGGTACGATTTTTTATAGCAGAATAGAGACATCCAAGAATTTTGTCAACAAAACCGTGTCGATTTGTTCCTTCCAAACTGATGATTAAATAACCGAGAAGGATTCACATAACAGTAATTTTTAGAGGCGATGAGGAATGTAATAGTTTAATGATTTATGATCGCATATCTACGCGATATATATATATATATATATATATATATATATATATATGTATATATATATATATGCATTCACTAAAAATAACATTTTGATATATATATATATATATATATATATATATATATATATATATATATATATATATATATATATTTAAAATGTTATTTTTAGTGAATATTTGTATTTCAGTAGACGCTCAACTTTACTGTTTAATAAAGAATCGAAGCGCCGACTCAAACTCTGGTATCGACTGAAAATAACGTTCAAAATGATAAAAACTGGCGGATTACATTCTTTCGAAGATATATATATATATATAGAGAGAGAGAGAGAG